CCCCCTGGCTAGATCTTAACTGCCGGGTAGGCTCATATGGAAGGAGGTGGTCCTTCAAGTATCCAGGGCCCAAGCCCTGTCACATTTTCCTTCACCATAGATATTTTAGGCATGATTTATACCCCATTTTAAATTAGTGATAAATTATTTATCATTTGTCAAAAATACATTGCAATTTACACTAGCATAATACAAGTGGCATAATTTTGAGGTAAATTTCCTCAATGTGTAAATATTATCTGTTATGTGATGAGTTACATGCACAGCACAAACACTGATATATTTTTTTAACCTGCGGCAATTTGCTTATACCTGTATTGCACTTGCAGGCATTACTAACATAATTTATGCCTATTATTTCCTAGCAAATATGAAAAAAGTGTTTTTAAGAGCCGTTCCCAGCTTCTATCTGGGCATGCAAAATCGTCGTATTTTTCTGTAGCCTGGACCTTACAGTTTCATGGGAGGTTTTATTTAGTTGATGCACACTTAAGGGCTTCTCATTTCACCCTAGTGAAAAATCATGCAAAGCAATGGTACTATGCGGGTGGTCAACATATCTGTTGTGGCGTGATGAAAAAGTACACCAAACTAGAATGGTTCTGTCGCTAAAGCTTCATGCTAGAAAAGAAACAAGTTCAAATTAGGGCACAAATTGTCGAATGCTACTACTCACAATAATTATATGTATTCAAATTGATTCTGATTTATGGTAACCCTCCTGGGATTTTCTAAGTATAAACTACTCAGAAGTAGTTTACCTGTCTCTCCTTCTGCAGGTCCTCTCAGAACCTTAGGGTTGCCCAAGGCCCCAGAAGTGGCAGGGCCTTTAACCCCATCAACCACACACCCTCAGGTTGATGTCACCAACCCTGTCCTGGGCAGCACAGTGTGCGTGTGAACTCCCAACTTTTGGCTACACAACCAGGCAGTCCCGTCTTCTAAACTGGTTGTGCACTAGGCAACCATCTTCTTTCACAATGCAAAAGTAGAAGTGGTAAGAAGGCTATACAGTAAACTTACTACCAAGGTATTTGATGTCACTAATTTTTCTGCACAAAGGGAACGCTGGACGATGAAAAAAAGGAGAGAAAATAAACCAATTCAGGTGTGATTACACAGGGAAATAGATCGTAATTTGATTATGATTTAGGAAAATGTTCAGCCCCAATCTGATTTGATTTGATCTTGTGTCTTTCTCATAGTCACAGTAGTCAGGAGTCTCAGACCAACGATTTTAGTGCAGGTCCAACATCTCAAGTTGCCATACGTTTCAATCCACGCTGCTAATGTTCATTGTTCCAATTCAGATTAAAACTGTTACATTAGTGAGTTAAAAGCTTTGCCCCTGTAGATACTATAGGTTTATGCTCATGTCAGTTACCCAGCTAGAATAACAAGCATCCCTCCCTATTCCTAGTATTTCTGAATATAATTTTTTTGCAAGTCTTACCTTTGATATTAAAAATCCATTTTGATACTGAATTAGGATTCGAGGATACTCAGGTTCTTCTCCGGAGTTCATTTTTCTGCCGTGCTCACTGAGAAATCCTCTTTGCCACTTCCTTTAAATAAGCCTCTTTTGCCTGTAGGACAGATGACTCCGCGCAGTCCTGTTTAACTGTCTTAATACCGTTCAGAACATATGCGCAGTATTCCCACTGATAATGCTGATACAGGCTGTCCTTTTCTTTCTTTGCTTCTCTTTCTTAAAAAAACCACGCTGCTGTAGGCTTATGAGCCCAACCTAAAATGGACCTAAAATGAAATGCTACTCCAGTGCAATGCCAAGTCTTCCAGATAAGCTGAATATTACATGGAAATGACATTTTCTATTACAGTATTTGTGTATACAACCTATGTTATCAAGGGCTTTGGATGAGTTAGGGAGAGGCAGGGACAAGGCACTCCTCCAGGTGCTTTCTGGATCAGAATTTGCAGCGTTCGTCGACATTATTTGATTCAAGAGAACAGGGATTGTAATCCAGCAATATTTAATAGGTTCCATTTTACCCACCCTTTGATTAAGTTATTAACTTGGCAATGAAAATATATGCCCTCCCTTTTCCAGCAGTGTGCTGGGATGGTGAGAGATTTTTTTTCCAGGATTTTGTTTCATTAAAAGAGGAATAAGGAAATACTATACTAA